ATTAAATTGTATTATGTACATGGAATGATTAGAGTGATATCTGGCCCATTGCCCCTTGGGCTCAATGAATGTCACTGTTGTTTTCATATGTCTGGCCTGTCCTCTCCTTTTTCAGTGGGGACACTTCTTCATTCTCTAAGGTGAGAACTTCGGACTTACAGGTTTGTCTGCCCTGGAGCACTCCTCAGTGTCCTAAGTCCTTTCTTACCATGATTGGCTCCCCTATGGACACTGCCTGGCACCACATGGAAACCCAAGTCACAGTCCATGAGGCCCCTTCCTTACTGTAACCGGCAGAATATGAGGGATAGGGCTCTGTTTTTTTGCCACCCTACATCTTAGGTTTCTCTAAGGGTAATTTACTATGCTGTAGGGGTGGGGTAATTTCAGAGTGAAATTATCGTATAGGAGAGGAAAAGCTAAGTACCAAGATCATTTAAGCTTTCCCTGAGTTTCCAGTGGCAAAAACCGAAAAGTTGAGTCCCTCATAAGAACAGAAACTACTCCTGCCCCACCCCCAATATATACCTAGCTCTCCTAGCCCTTGGCTCTCAAACCGGTTCCCTTATGGGCTTCCTTCTTCAGGTCTCTGAATCTCCACCTACTGTTGGCCAGAATTAGCTGTCACAGTGCCTCAAGTCTGAGTCATTCTCTCTGGAGTAGTGCCCCAGTTTTTGCCGAGTGACACCTTTTACCACCCAAGTCTTAGGGAAGAGCTGGATCCCTTGGACAGGAGTGGACCTGGGTCCTCCAGGTCTAATTTTCCTCACTATAGGCTCCAGTTAGGAGCCCTAGTGGCACAGTGGTTAAGTGCTCCGCTGCTAACTGAAAGGTTGGCAGTTCAAACCCACCAGCTGCTCCATGGGAGAAAGATGTGGCAGTCTGCTTCTGTATAAAGAGTACAGCCTTGGAAACCCTATGGGGCAGTTCTACTCTGTTCTATTGGGTCACTATTAGTTGGAATCGACTGAACAGCAACGGGTTTGGGTTTTGGTATAAACTCCAGTGAGAGCTGCAGGGATGGTGGTTCCAGTCCCTGGGTGATGCAAATGGTTAATGCACTTGGCTGCTAACTGAAAGGTTGGAGGTTAGAGTCTACCCAGAGGTGCCTTAGAAGAAAGGCCTGGCCATCTACTTTTGAAAAATCAGCTACTGAAAACCATATGAGCACAGTTATATCCTGACACACATGGCATCACCATGAGTCAGAGTCAGCTTAACAGTAGCTGGTTGTGTGTGTGTGTGTGTGTGTGTGTGTGTGTGTGTGTTTAATCTCTCAACAGACATTAATTTTTATATATTTTAAATGCAAATGGGAAAAGACAATATTTCCTTAAATAACAGGGCGTCTCATCCCTATGCCAGAGTCGTGAACTCTGAGTAATCTGTAGCTTATTCCCTGCTCCCCTGGAAGGTCTACCTCTTTAATGACAGCAGTGGCTGCTTTTCCAGGAAAGCTCCAGATGAAATCGTATTTTTCTATTATTTATGAAGACTCCCTGGGATGGGATAGGGTTATCAATTTTTTCTTACACTATTATTATTGTTATCACAAATCATGAGAAAAGAAAAATTTATTCAGTAAGTAGTATTGTGACAATTGAGTAATTATTTGGAGAAAAAAAATTTTAAATTACACCTAAAAATTAGGTATAATCCTTGCCTTATACCTAACACAAAATCAATTCCAGATGGATTAAAGATTTGGGTGTTAAAACAGAGAGAGAGGAACCATATGAACTAAAAGAAAAAAAAAATAAGTTCTAAAAGGCATGTAACTAGCAGTGATATAGCCTCTACCCACTTCTCACTGAAATACCCACAAAGACACACAAAAAGAAATGACAAAACTATTAACACCAAAAAATGAAGACTGACAAGTAAATGCCAAAATATAGTCAAAATCGAGTCCAATTGTATGGCAGATGCCAAGGACCCCTCTTGGCTTCACCTCAGTATACAGAACCCCCCTGATAAAAAGGATGAAGAAGTTTTGTTTATCTCATACTACATGTTACTTAACCAGACACCCAAGGACCCAGAAGACTAGATAAATGGCCCTATAGGGCAGCGAGGTACTTTTGAAACATACCAATCTCCAGACACTACCCTAGACTAATTAAATCAGAGTAGGAAAGGCACTGAAACATCAGTGGTTAAAAAAAACTCCCAAGATGGTTTTAATGTGTACTCAAGTTGATAACCATCTTCTGCATATATTGCGCAGGTGTTATTCTATAAGGCAGGAGATTTTATCCCCCCCATTTTGACCACCTTCCATCTTTTATGGCATTACAGTCTGGGAGACCCCTCTTTATAGTCTGGGATGCCCTTCCTTACAATCTGGGACAGTCCTTGTTACTATTTCTTCTCCTATCATTTTTTTTTCGTATCATCTTAACTTTGCCTTTTTAGTTTTCAACATTACCTTCTTACTCCTCTCCACCTCTTAAATATTAGTCTTCCCCAGAACTTGGTCTCTTAGAATGTTCTCCTTAACTGAAAATCTCATCTGGTTCCAAGACTTTAGCTGCCATACATAAGCTGAAGACTTTCATTCCTATGAGAAAGGGTGGGCATTTTTTCCTCCATAACCCTCCTCCAGGAGTGCATACCCACTCCACTGATGGAGCCCTACCCAGCCCAGGCTAGAATAATTTAAGGAGGTCTTGGTGAGATGAGGAAAAAGAGAGTGAGACTTTTTAAAACCGTAATAGCACAGGGGTTACGTCAAGAAGTAGTCTTGTAGAAGCTCCACCAATTCTGGATCATTCATTCCCTCCTCCAATAGTTACAACGTAATGATAAGACCAGAGGCCAACACAAAGCAGTTAGACCCTGGGACAAGAGAAGAAAGTAAAAGAACATAGAGAAGAACTCTTTTCTGCCCATCAAACATGGACTTGAAAAACCAATGGGAAGACTGAAAAGGAAAAAGAAAGACCCATCTTGGAACATCTTTCAACTCCGCATGCCTGACTGATGGTAAAATGTTTCCAATAATGGACTTTATCATGTTCACAAATTATTACATCTGCATTTACAGCTCAGATCTCTCTACCAAGCTTCTAACTTCCTGCGAACAAATCCATCTGGATGACTCAAAGGCATAAGACACCTCAGATATAACATATCTAAAACAAATCTTGCTCCCCTTCCCTGGCCAATGTGCTCCTCTCCTGTGCCTACCTTTGTGAATGGAACTAGCATCCCTTCACCCAATGAAGATTTACCCTCCTGTCTTAGTCATCTAGTGCTGCTATAACAGAAATACCACAAGTGGATGGTTTTAACGAAGAGAAGTTTATTTCCTCAGAGTCAAAGTAGGCTAAAAATCCAAATTCAGGGTGTCAGCTCCAGGGGAAGGCTTTCTCTCTCTGTTGGCCTTCTTCTCTTTGGTGTTCCCCCGGACTAGGAGCTTCTCGGCGCAGGGACCCCGGTCCAAAGGACGCGCTCTGCTCCTGGCACTGCTTTCTTGATGGTATGAGGTCCCCCTGTCTCACTGCTCACTTCTGTCGTTTATATCAAGAGATTTCCTCAGGACACAATCCAGTCTTGTAAATAGAGTCCTGCCTCACTAACACAACTGCCGCCCATCCTCCCTCATTAACATCACAGAGGCAGGATTTACCACACTTGGGAAAATCACACAATACCGGGAATCATGGCCCAGCCAAATTGATACATACATTTTTTGGGGGACATAATTCAATCCATGACACCTCCATTTTCCACCTCCCACATCTAATGTCTAGATCCTGTATGTTAACAACCAAAACATCTCCTACATTCAGTCTCTACACTATTTCCATTGCCTCTGTAGACATCTTGGATAATTGGATAAACTGTAAGTACCGCATTAGGAAAAGATAGAAAGGGGCTTACTTGACCAGATTGTTTTTACTTAATATCCTTGGAGCAGGGATAGGTCAAAGCTGGTGCAAGGGAGAGAGGGTGTAGGATGAGAAGGGATGGGGCTGCAACTGGAGAGTGAAGGTGTGTCAGGCTGTGGGTGAGATAAACACCAATGTACCGCTTGGCTGTAAAGTGCTGAGATAGGCTAAGGTTGCAGCAAGTGTTAAAGGGGTGGGGCTGGCTAGAGACCAGGCTCCCCAGGGCTCTGTCCCCATGGCTGATTTTGGGGCTGGGCTTTCCCCTGGGTATGTGTTAGGGGAGGTCAGTGGGAGTCAGAGATATTTGTTACTGGGTTTTCCTAGGGCATCACCGTAGCATGCACATCCCCAAGGCACCAACTTTGTGAGGCTGCAGAGGGTATTTGATTTCCAACTGCAAACCAAACCAGCCGGTTCCCTGCGTCTCGATTGTGGTGGCTCCTGGTGTGAGTGCCCAGGCTCCAGTCCAAGTTGTGTGAGCTGAGCAGGTGCCTGACACTCCCTAGCACCAGTTCTGCCAGGAAGTGAGGCTTCGTCGTAGCTCTTGGAGTTGGATTCTAAACCTGAGGATCGAACAGTGAAGCCCCTGGGATAAGACACCTCGTGTAACTCCAAGAAGGACTCTGAGCAGCTGTACTTGCCTGTCACTTTTTCCTCCCACTCCCCTCATCCTTTAACCCTTTGATCTCCGACTGACTCTCCAATCATTCTGTTCCCCTTCCTTCTCTAGCCTGCCCCAATCTTCCCCACCCCATTAATCCACCCCTGCCACCACCACCTTCCTTGTCCATTCTTTCCTCCCCTCTTCGCTGCCCTCTACTTCTTCTCTCCTTACCTTCTCCCTCTTCTGCCTTTATTCTGTCCCCCTACGTTTCTTCACCTCACCTGTTCTTGCCCCTACATTCCCCCGACTCCCTTCTTCCCGCACTTTTCTTCTTTTTACTTAAATTCCTCACCCCTCCACATTTCTTTCTCTCCCTACCTTTTCTTCACCCTCACCTTCCTCTCTTCCCCTTAACTTTCCACCTTACCTCTCCCTCCCGCTAACCCCCGGTCGTATCCCGCCCCTGCCCCTCCCCTCATTGTTTGCTTTTCTCCCGGATCCGGATGAAAGGGCTGCTCTGCCCTTGCCCTGCCCTACCCCACTCCTGGCAGCCGGGGTCTCACTTCATGGCTGAGGGCTCTGGGACTCAGGCCCAAGGGAAAGGGCCCTTGCTCAGCATCCAGCTCCTGCGAGCCCAGTACGAAAGCTTGAGGCAGCAGCAGAGGGCCCAGGCCCACCTGGTGGTGCTCCCGGAAGGTAGGGCTGGGCCAGTGTCCCGGGCAGAAGTGATGGGGAGGGAGGAGGGTCTGGCTGTGAGCCGAATGGGTGGCTGAGATGCTGGGAGGGTAAGGTCAGGGCTCCCTGCTGGTGGGGAAATGCAGAGAGCCGGAGAGGTGGCTCAGGGCAGCTCTGCTTGGCTAAGTCCACCCTTCCCACCGATCCAGGAGCCTCAGCCCAGCCCGGCCACGCAGATTCTGCCCTCTGCTTCTTTGTTCTGATCTTGCTAGACTGGTCAGCCTGGTGAGCCCAGCTTGGCCGCCCTGCAAAGCCAGGTGGGAGATGGGAGCTCTGCTTCCTGGCTGGGTCTAACCAAGGCACTTCCTGCAAGCCAGAGAAACTGGCCCCGGAGGGAGAAGACGTGGCATTCCCCAGCAGCCGGGGAACTGGCTGGGCCAGGGAAGCAGCAGGGCCCAGGGACTCATGAGCACCTCAGGCTCGAGGAGCTTGCTGTCACCACCTCAAACCACCACCAGGGCAGGTGCGATCGGACACGGAAACCCCCTCCTCATGGGGAGAAACGTCCTCCCTTTGGGAACTCAGGCTTCATTCCTGGAGGAAGTTAGGAGCACAGGGCTTGGGAAGTAAGTGAGGACAGAAAGGAGGAACAAGTCAAGGGAGGTGGGAAGATACACAGAAGTTCAAAGCTGTGCCTGGGGGTTTCTGTGGTTACCTGTACAGTTTAGTGGACTCAATGAATGGTCCATCCTATACTAGGCCAGGCTAGGACAGCGGGAGCTCACCATTTGGGCAAGAAGTATGATCTTTTTATTTTTTAATTTTTAAAAAAATTGTAGTTTTTTATTGCTGCTAAATTCACATAACATAAAATTACCCATTTTGAAGTGTACAATTCAGCGGCATTTAGTACAGTCCCAGTAGTGTGCTGCCATTTATAGACAAAGAAGCACCTCTAACCGGAAAGAGCCCACTTCCCATTACGTGAGCTGGTGCCAAATAATGGGATCCCTTGGAACTGAACTGGCACAGCCAACTAGTGCCCCCATTTCTGCAGGGCATAAGTTGTAAGTTTCCCAAAGCCCTATCCCACCCTCAAACAAACAAACAACAACAGTAATAAAAAGAAACCCAAACCCTTTGCTGTCGAGTCGATTCCGCTTCATGATCTTCTGCCTTCTAGTTCCAGGGCCCTTCCTTCCATCAGTCAGCTCCCAGAATTCCTGAGCTTCCAAATGCAACCTAGTGTCTGGAGACACTGAAATCTAGTTGTATTAGTAGCCCAGTGTCTATGGTCACTCTATCTTCCTGGGTCTTTCTGCTCCACTGGACACTGAGGATCACTATCTTCTAAAATAACTTGTCTCCATATTAACATCTCCTGATTTAGATCTCTGTCTCTCTTCCCTGGCTTTTCTTCCATGGTTTGTCCCTTAAATATCTGAGTATTCCAGAACTCTAATTTTCAGTCCAATTTCTTATCAGTTTATACATTTACACTCCATGATTTCATAATATCCATGACTTCAACTACCACCTATACGTTGATGACCCCAAATCTGTACTCCAGCCAAAATTTCTCCTCCAAAATCCAAGCTGGTTGGATGCCCTACAGACAAACATCTGAAATGCAAAATATTCAAAAACAAATTCATTTCTCCTGACTAAAAATCTGCTTTTTGTCCTGTATTCTCTGTCTCAGTGAATGGCACCACCATCTACCAGATTGCCAAAGTGTAGCCGGCAATTGATTTTTTGCCTCCCTAGAATCATTTCCACCTATTTGTGGTTATCTTACCCCTAAGTTATTTCTCCCCCTTAGCTCTACTAGTACTATTACTATTGATGTGAATGCTAACTAACATATATTGAGTCTTTACTCTGTCAGGCACTGTGGTAAAAGCTTTGTATGTATTAACTTATTTAATTCCTACAACAAGGCTGTGATTTAGCTACTATAGTTATTCTCACACATGCAATGTACTCGGAAGCTGGCTTCCTTGATGTTCTGGGCGTGCCATTGTTTCAGCTTAAAAACTCTGATACCCCGAAAATGAGACCTGCTGTGTAGCTTCCAGTAGTGACCCTGCTCTGCCTTCCCTTCTCAGGCGGGACCATGCCTGCTCCTGCTCCTGCTCAGCCCATGGTCAGTGCTGTTTGGATTAACAAGGAGAGAAGGAGCTCACTATCCTTGGAGGAGGCAGATCCTGAGGCCAAGGGGATGCTGGAGGAGGCAGGCAGAGGCTGTCTTCAGACCCCCACGTCTACGTGGCACACGCACCTAGAGATGCATCGCTCGGTCCAAAACTTCTACCAGGAAACCAGTCATCAAGTACAGCACAAGGGCAGGCTTACTGGGTCTGACCAAAGCCTCTCTCAGGAAGAAGACCTAGGCTTGTTTGAAAACAATCAGAGGACTCAGCAAGGGACGGAAACCCCAGAGGCAGCCCAGCATCAATGTCATGTGGTCAGTGCCCAAGCAAAGGCAGTGGGATCCAGCTTAAACATGAGCATTCAGTGTCCTCCTCCCACAAAGAACCTCCACAGATCTGGCAAATCAGCTTATTATCCATTTCCCCAGAGGAAGACTCCCAGGATCTCCCAAGCTGCACGGAACCTGGGCTTATATGGCCCAGCCTGAAGCTTTCTTCTCAGCCAGAGGGCTCAGCCTTGAGACCATCAATGGCCTCATCAGAGAACCAGGGAAACAGAGCTACAACTAGATCCTCTAGCTAGGAGCAAGAACTGCAACTGCAGGAATTGTGGGAAGTGGGCACATGGTCTGGTCTTTCAAAAAAGAAGAGATTGTCCAGGCCAGATTGCTCATAGTTCAGGATGAAAGGGCACTGTCCAATCAATGCAGCCCCATTCTGTTTGTATAAGAAGATGAAGCGATGGAGCCTTGGATGCCCATTCCTTAGGGGAATTTTGAAATACAAAGCGGAGACTGTAGCCAATGGAATGCCTTAGCAGGGCCCAGGGGTCAAGGGCATGCGCAATCCCGTTTTCAGTAGCTTCTGATGATTTCACACATATTCTCAAGAAGATGAGCTCTGAGAACTGCCTTCTCCTGGTCGCTATTCCTGGAGGCCATCTCACTTACAAGTCACTAAATTCATGGTGGTAACCACACCATCTCAGCTTTCACCTCCCAAAGCATGGTGAAGAGAAGGGTAAAGAGAGCTAGAACAATGTCACTCACTGTTTTGTGCTTTTAAAGGGTCTTTAGGAAGGGCTGATCATCTCTTAGCTCTCCCTGAGACCCTGCACATCCAACCTCATCACAGATTTATTTCCTTCCTTCCTTCTTTCTTCCTTCCTTTCCTTTTCTTCCTTTCCTTGCCTTCTTCCTTTTTTCTTTTTTTCTTTCCAAATTCTTATTGAAAAATTGCCGATCATTGAAAATATACAGTGATGGGAGCTTGAGCAAAAGGAGATAAAGAAACGCTTTTGCCTGGAAAATATGTGTCCTACATAAACTGCCCTCTTTTCTGCCAAACTTGGATCACTGAACTCTTTCTTGGTATCAAATATTTTTTTTTTTTAACTAAAACAAAGTAAAGCAGGTGGTACTTGGGTGATAGAGAAGAAAGTGTGTCTTTCCTGGTTAATGTTTAACTTTAGTAATGCTATTTAATCACCTTTTGGAGCCCTGGTGGCACAGTGGTTAAGAGCTATGGCTGCTAACCAAAAGATGGGCAGTTTGAATCCACCAGCCACTCCTTGGAAACCCTATAGGGTCACTATGAGTCGGAATCGGCTCAACAGTAACAGGTTTTTTAAGGCGCTTTTCTCTCATATCAGATTCCCTCTTTGAAGTTTCACCCACATCTTCCTTTTTTCTCCATGATGATCCAGACGTGCCCGTCTATGTCCAGAATTGTTAACTAGGAGCATCATTAGTCATCAAAAAATGTATGTGCCTGCTCCATGGACCACTCAGAAAATCATTCTAGTTTTGGGATTCATTGTGCTTCTTTTTGTGAATAATTAATAAGATTCAGTTGTTAATTTTTTAATAGTCTAATGAAAAACAAGAAAATTTTCTGAAAAACTTTGTGCTTTACTTTTGTTTTAAACTCTGGCAAGTAACCCCTCTTTCTACGATCTTTTTTTTCCTTCACATTTATTCCATCCACATTTATTTCAAATTGAATTAACATGTTAATACTGGGAATTCAGGCATATGGAATTCACACATTCACTTGTCTTCATTACCATAGTTAGTGATCCTGATACTCCTCCTCAATTCCAGTCTGATCCCTTTCCAAAGATTTTGAATGTGCCTCATCGTTATTAAAATTGGATCTTTGAGAATGACTGTGAATACTTTTAAAATACGTGTTTCCCCTGTAGAATGTGTTATGACCCGGCCAGTGGGAACCCTAGTCTTGATTTTCCACTGACTTGCAGCAGGATTGGAGTACCTGGTGATGAAATGGCTAATGAGCTCCCTTGCTAACTGAAAGGTTGGAGGTTTGAGTTCACCCAGAGACACTTCGGAAGAAAGCCTGGTGATCTACTTCTGAAAAATCAGCCATTGAGAATCCTATGGAGCACAGTTCTACTCTGACACACATGGGGTCACCATGAGTCAAAACTGACAGCGTCTGGTTTGGTTTTGGTTTTGCAGCACAGTTATGGCAGTATGGCTTTCTCTTGCTCTGCTGTGTGTGGATCCAGATCCTGGTCTTTCTCAGAGCTCTCCACAACAGACCCTTACCTTCAGTGACTGGTGTATATATACAGTCTTTAACGTTTCTCTCTTCATTGCCCAGGAAACCCCCGTAGGTCTGGCAACATGTGCAGGGCATAGCTGTCTTGCAGGCAAGATGAAGGAAGCGCATAGGCTTTGCAGCCAGCAGACCTGGGTACTTACCCAGCCACAGTTAATGTGCGACTTGGGCCAAGTTTCATAACCTTTCAGTTATGGTTTAATCATCTATAAAATGAGGGCAATAATACTCATTTTTGAAAAGGTTAGAAATAATATGTGTAAAAGTTCCTGGCACTCTCAGCTAGAGGCAGTCAGGGTAAAACCAGGGAAACAAACCAGTCGGAGCTATATATTATGGAATGTATTGCAAGGAATTGGCTTAGGCGATTGTGAGGGCTGGCTAGGTTAGTCCGGAATTCCTAGTGCAAGCCGTGAGGGAGGGCAGGTTGGAACTGTCAGACATGAACTGAAGCTGCTGTCCACAGGAGAGTTTCTTCTAGTAACCCTCAGCTCTGCTTTCAAGGCCTTTCAACTGATTAAATCAGGCCCACCCAGCAAAGAATAACCTTCGTTATTTAAAGTCAACTAATTATATCAATTACAGACTTGAATCACATCAGTAAAATAGCTTCACAGAAATACCTAGACTAGTGTTTGATTGAATAATTGGGGACTGTAGTCTAGCCAGGAGCGCTGGTGGCATAGTGGTAAAGAGCTTGGTCATCAGTTCAAATGCACCAGCTGCTCCTTGGAAACCCTATGGGACAGTTCTACTCTGTCCTGTGAGGTTGCTATGAGTCCGAATTAACTTGGGTTTGTTTTTTGGTACTTCTCCTTTGGAGTCCCTGGGTGGTGCAAACGGTTAAGTGCTTGACTACTAGCTAGAAGTTTGACAGTTTGAACCCACCCACCCAGAGGCACCTGGGAAGACAGGCCTGGCCATCTCCCATTCCCTTCCCTCAGGCTGCTCCTCAAGAGCAGTAAGGTGAGAACAATCTCGGTTTCTCAGACACACACACACACACACACACACACTTTTCCTGCCCACCCGTGTGCTGACAAATCGGCTTGGAGCAGAGGGCTCAGGTTACTGTGAGCGCCGTTGAACTACCGATGACTGCTTTTTTTCTCCCCTGTGCTGGTCAGGACTGGTGTTAACTTATCTTCCCGCACTCTCCACAGAGGAACAGAAGAGGGTTCTCGTCAGGAGAGAGAACAGCCAGCTCACATTGTAAATCCTGCCTCAGGTAGGTTACATGTACTTAGGGTCCCCTAGCCTTCCAGGTCCACAGGGAGGATTCCCCCATGTAGCTGCCTCAGTAACATGCTCCCATCTTCCTGAGATCAGAGGCAGATGGATCTGGACTCCCCTCAGCACTGCCACTTGGTAGCTTCGTGACCTTTGTTGAGTCACTTAACTCTGAGAGCCACAGACTTCGCAGTTGCAAAATAGGGTGATAACACCCACCTTGGGGAGTCGGGTGGGGAGGGGCTGGTTCTCATTAGCTGTAAACAAGAAAGGGTCTTTCCCATAACTGCTGCCAACTCTGCTTAGTCCAACTTCTCCTTCCCCACTGTGGGGCAGGCTCCTCTCAGGCCTCGAAGTCTGATTCCCTCGCTTTTCAATGACGCCCCGTGATTAAAGCACTTTCATTTCCGGTTCTTAAGACTTGACACTATTCAAATTTAAAAGTCTATCTCATATTCACGTCAGATTCCACCAACCCCTCGCCCCCTCCCCTCCCCTCCCAGCACGGTTTGATTTTTGCTTCAAGGCCAAAGGGAGGGGCGTGGTCTTCTGGCCCACATACCCCTCCCTCTGGTGCACAAAACTTTTTAGCACTGGGGTGGGAAGAGCAGAGAGCGAAGGCAAGTGTCTCTTTAAGAGACTGGCTGTGATGTCATTTTAGTCTCTTTTCCCTTGGCTGTTTACACGGACCTAGCTCATAGTCTGGTGTGGACAGTGGCGGCCCCAACAGGCTCCTGCTGATGAGGGACTCAAACCCAAACAGCTCCGCTAGCACTGGGGGCCCCTGGTGAGACTGGTTATGCCTGCTGTTCAACGCCCCTCCCTGGCCTTCAGAGGTCCACTTCTCTGTGCCCCAATCTCAGCAACCCTCTACTGGCCCAACTGGGGCCCGTGGACACAGGTGAGAGGCATTTTCTGCACATCCGGGGAACTGGTTTTAGGTCAGCTTGTTAGTTTCCTAGCACTGCCATAATAAAGTGCCAATAACCGGGTGGCGTAGAGCAACAGAAATTTATTCTCTCGCAGTTCTGGAGGCCGAAGTCTGAAATCAGAGAGTCTCTCTGTCTTCTCTCCTCTTTTTATAAGGACATCAGTCATATTGGATTATGACCACCCTATTCCAGTATGAAGGAATCCAAGTGGCACGGTGGTTAAAGCGCTCAGCTGCTAACCGAAAGGTTGGTGGTTCAAACCCACCAGTGGCTCTGTGGGAGAAAGATATTGCAGTCTGCTTCCGTAAAGATCACAGCCTTGGAAACCCTATGGGGCAGTTCTACTCTGTCCTGTAGGGTCGCTATGAGTCAGAATTGACAACAATGGGCATTCTTCAATGTGAAGGTCCCTGGGTGGTGCAAATTGTTTGTGCTCATCTACTATCTGAAAGGTTGGCGATTTAACCCATCCAGGGGTGTTGTGGAAGAAAGACCTGGAGGCCTGCTTCTGTAAAGGTTACAGCCAAGAAAATCCTGTGGAACAGTTCTGCCCTGTAACACATGGGGTCACCACAAGTCAGAATCAACTGTTTTTTGTTCTGTTTCGTTTTACTCCAATATGGCCTCATGTTAACTAATTACATCTGCAAAGACTCTATTTCCTAATAAAGTCACATTCACAGGGACTGGAGGTTAGGATTGGAACATATCTTTTTGGGCAGATACAAATCAACCCATAACAGGTGGTCACCCTTTCACCCTCTCCCCAGTTGTTGTTCTACACGGTCATTTTCCCACTGAGGCTTCTCCCTCTCTCTCTCTCCTTTTTTAATTGTGCTTTAATTGAAAGTTTACCGAGCAAATTAGTTTCTCCTTAAACAATTAATATACAGATTGTTCTGTGACATTGGTTGCCAACCCAGGGATATGTCAACACTCTCCCCTTCTCCACCCTGGGTTCCCTGTTTCCATTCGTCCAGTTTTCCTGT